AAAGAGAAGAATAAAGAAGAAGTTGGGTAGGTGAAGTTGGGTAGGTGTCTTAAGGAAGATGTCTACACCTACCTATCTTCACCTACCTATCTACACCTACCTACCTACACCTACCTGTCTATACCCACTTATCAATACCTACCTATCAATATCTACTTCTGATGTACTTTGATATTGTTGATCTGATACTTCTACTTCATATGTTATGTTGTGATGTGATATTATTTTATCACATGATATGAGATGATATGATCTGACATTGATGTGATGTGATATGATATTAAAACATGATATGATATGATATGTTATGACATTGATGTGATGTGATATGATATTATAACCTGATATGATATAATATGATATGATATGAGATTAATAACCTATGAGGTGATGATTAGATGATGATGTTGTGAGGGTGAAGTAGGAGAAAGTTAGTAAAGAATATGAAGTAAGGAAGGTGAAGTAGGATAAAGAGAGTCAGGAAGAGAGAGTGGGGAAGATGAAGTAAGAGAAAGAGAGTAAGGAAGAGAGAGTGGGGAAGATGAAGTAAGAGAAAGAGATTAAGGAAGATGAAATAGGCAGCAGTGCTTAAGGAAAACCCTTTCGCAGGTGCTTTCGGGAAAAAATCGTCAAGTCTGAGTACTCTCGGCCTATAGGTTCCAGGTAACTGAAAACAGGTGAGCGCAAGACACCTCCAAAGCCTCCAACACCAAGTTCATGTCCAAAGCTCATGAAAGTTGCCCTGTGAGTTGCCGCCAATCCCACCATCGTCTGGAGCTTAAAAGAAAGAAGGCCCTTTGGGGAGGCGTGTGTGTGTGACCATTCACACGGATCTCTTTGGAATGTACTGCCTGTTATACCTTTTTTGGAACTCAGACTCCCGCTCACGGCCTACCAGACGTTCCGTGAGATTCAGCGGTTTTCGTCGAGTTCTTTTCACCAATCCCACCAAAAGAAGGCCTCCCTTGACCCTTTATCTTTTTTGTTGGCAGGGGGGGCGCAGCTACCTTGCATCTGGGAAGCCAGGTCTGATCAACCTGGTGTACCTGCTGTTGAAAACCTAAGTGTGG